AATATTGCGGGCGCATTTCTTTAACAAACATTTTGATTCTTCGAACGCTGAAAATATGCATTGTGAGAGGATTTTTTGTCTTCTGTTATTGGTTTGTTCATGGAAGATAAAGTGTTTCTTGAAAGATTAAGTTATAGTGCTTGTACACAATGATATAACAACTTAATCGCATGAAAACGTGCAAAGAATTTTTATTTACAAATGGGCGACAAGTGGAAATGTTTCACTCATTGTCAGAGTTTCAGAATCAGGGTACAGCAATATGGAAACAAGGAAGTGTTCATATTTTACTCTTGATAGAAGCTGAGTTGTTGTTGTTTCCACAGGTATGTTCAATAATTTGTTTGTCCTTCCTCATATGGAATAATAAGTGCCTTAAAATACATATGTTGATGAAAATGACACATATCCCTCTTGCGATTTCTTAAAAACTGGCTGTTGCCTTTAGTTAGAAAATATATTTTATGAAAGTTAAATATTAGTCAACCTTAATGGAAAAGTTAGTGGGTATGCTAGGAAAAATGTGTGTGGCACTTTTTTGGACACTGAAGATGGTAACATTTGATGAGGCGAGACTGGCATCTGCTAAAAACTGTTTTCAATGCTTTGAACTATGACCATTGGCCGGAATATGCAAAGCTAAAATTATATAACCCAGGGAGAAGTGGACTCCGATCTTGCTCGAAAGATCTCTTAGAAAGATCTCTTAGAAAGACCAATTGATCAGGACATATTTCAATATTCTGCAGTTAAATGTTTCAATAAACTACCTCAAACCCTGAGGGCTGAGAAAAACTTTGAAACATTTTGTGCTGAAACAAGAGTATTTTTCTTCGATCAAGCAAGAGAACGTTTGGGTTAACTTTTACGTTCCAGTACTCTAGCATGTGCATGTACAATATTTAATGTTTTAACTAATGATAAGAAGTAGCATATATTATAAGTTGTATATAAGTAGTTACATTGTAGATGAAGAGCCATGTAAAATGGAAGGCTACAATAAATTCGTTATTATTATTATTATTATTATTGCCATCCTCTTATCATAGCATAACTTAACTTATTTTGGTGAGTTTGTGCTCACTATATCCTGTAGTATCTAAGATTTCTTCTTAGCATTATATGACACATTTAAGTTCTGTTTTCGTTTATTTTGTATCTGTTCACTTGAGTGTTGGTATCAAATTTTGGACAAGTTTCAATTATTACTTCACATTCCTTTATTCAAATATCCAAATAAATGGAATATTACCATTTGCGTTCAACTAGTCAGCATCCCGATTTTTTCGCGTTTGTTCACGTTTCAAATGAACACATTTCTGAGCGAAACGTGCAGGTTTGAACCGGTAAACTGTTACATTGTTTACAAAAATGTCCAACGTTTGTGGAAAAATCCGAACAGGTTTTGTTCACATGATTAATCCGTTTGCAGGTTTTTATGTCATGTTTTATAGTTTGTTATTGTATCTTTTCCTATTTTTCCCACGCAAAATTCTATTAATATAAATATATTATGCCCTTTGTGAACGAAACAACAAACAGTTTGCAACCGACAAGGTAAGATGGAATCAAAGTTGCAAGTTCAGGTTCAGATTGGAGATACTCGGCGTGTGTTTTTGATCAATCCGCCACAGACTTATATTGATTTAATAACAGCTATATTGCGTGAAATTCCGAAGACAAAATATATGGAAGTTTGCTTGTGAGTTGCAATTTCAAGCTTGAAGCGCATTGAAGGAACAGATGTTTCTCGATTGAAATTACGAATATTCGAAGGGTCTTCTCCAAGTGTGAAACCAAAAGATGACAAAAATGCAGATCAACCAGGTCCAAGCTCAATTTTATCTGATCATTCGACAGCACAAAACTTGTTTAGATAAGGATTTCAAGGATTTGATAGTAAATGAGGAAGATTCTGACAGTAATAACAGTGACTACGACATAACTTGCAACACAAATAAGCTGGCAGAAGAACGAACTCCTACTGAGAGACACATCATAAAAAAAATCGAACAAAAACGGTCCATTATTCACAGTTTACGAGAGAAGTTACAAGAAACCGAATCGAAACTAGAACAAGTCAAGTCAGATCCTTGTGATGGTAACGTTTGTAGAAATTGTCATTGGCAACTGGGACATACCTCTCGTTCATGTGACTATGGCAAATGCACGTGGGTCTTTAAATGTGGTATGGAAAAATTTCATCCTGGTGAACATAACATTAAAGATTTACGAAGTCAACTCAAAAAACATGAACGTGAACTTGAAAAATTAATCGAAGAGTTAAAATGCAAAAAAAAACGCAGTCAGCGCTGCCAAAGACAAGGTTCAAGTCAGAATAGAAAGTGACTTGTTTCAAGCAAATAAAGCTACATATACTGTAAATGGAATACAAAAATTGGTCTTTGTTAAGGAATGGAAAAATACCAGCAAAACAAGACATGGAAATGATTTTAGACAAAGCTTTACATGAGAGTAATTGCCCCAATGCTACAAATACATATCACAGGTCGAAGCAGACTGGCAGCCGGAAACATGGAAATCCTGCAAAAGATTCACTTGAGAGACAAGAACCAGAATGATTATAGAAAGACTCTGAGACAATGAAAGAACGTACTATTATGGGGTGGGTGGACGTCAGTCACGGTGGGTGGATGCATGCTTTCATGCTCCGCTCAGTCATATAGACAGCATAGTCACAATAGTTTAATCTAGTGGAAGCTTTAGTTTAGCATTTGTAAAATCAAATGCCGCCTAAGAAGAACAGGAATATGTCAAAACATGAAAATTCTGATGGTGAAAGCATGGCTGAAAGTGCGACATCACTGAACGAGAAAGCTACACTCGAAGCAATATTGGACAGTTGCCTTAAAAAACAGTTTGACCAGCTGAATGACTTATTCTCAACATTCTCGAGATCGACCAAAAATGACTTGGATGAAATTAAACAAAGCCAGGACTATCTAGGCTCTAAATTTGATGTTTTGGCCACTTCTGTGAGTGAGGTTCGAGCCGAAAACGTCGAATTACGTACAAGTAATTTGCAGTTAATCGAAAAAGTAAAGCTGCTAGAGGAGAAAACTGATGTTTCCGAAGGCGAAATAGAAAACTTAAAACAATATATCCGAAGGGACATGCTGGAAATCCACGGCATTCCAGTCACCGAAGGCGAAAATACGAACGAAATTATATTAAAGGTTGTTAAGCTCGCCGACCATTCAATGGCATTCAACCAAAACGAAATTTCAATCAGTCATCGTTTATCCTCGCGCCAGGGTCAAATTCCTCCCATTATCGTTAAATTCGTCCGTAGAGACATAAGAGATAAAATTTATTACATGAGGCGTAACCTGTCGACAAAATCTACAGCTGACCTTGGATTTCTTGAAGAACATCGTATCTATATCAACGAAAGCCTGACGCAAAAATCTCGTGAATTGTTATGGAAAGTTAAAGAGTATAAACGTGAGAATTGTTACAAATACGTCTGGACGAAGTATGGAAAAGTCTTTTTAAAGAAAGATGCCATTCCTTCTTCCCAAGTATTTTCCTTCTCCACTCTAAAAGACTTTGATCAATTTAAAGCTGGCCTTAACTCTCGTCAACAACGACAACCATAGTGGACTCAAGATAAGTTTTACTTTTATTATATCGTGTGTAATTTATAATCTTTTGGTTCAATATGTCTGTAATGCTCAATTTTCCTTTTAGTCATCTTGATGATGACGAGTTTGATCTGGTGTTATATGAGTTTGAAAACGGCCCGGTACGATTTGATGAAGATAGGTTATCCTCACTGGTGTTTAATCCGTTGCTGTTTGATCACAACAGTAATATTGCCATATGGGGTGACTTAGATGCGGATACTAATTATTATTCTCATGTATCCCAAAGCTGCGATTATTACACTGAACACAAATTAAGCGACTTATTGTCTACCAAGGCAGCGTTGCCAAACAACAACTGTCTTTCGATTCTCCATTTAAATATTAGAAGCTTAACTCGGAATTTTGACAATTTATTAAACTCGCTTGCAATTATTAAACATCAATTTTCTTTTATTGGCGTTTCGGAAACTTGGCTTCGCCAAGATGAGCACCATGCTTGTCTTGACGGATTTAATTTCGTACATAATTATAGGCCCAATAAAATAGGTGGAGGCGTTGGTCTTTATTTAGCAAATGAGTTTCAATTTCATTTACGTCATGACCTTGCTTTTGACGATACAGCATGTGCTGAAAGTATGTTCGTTGAAATTCATAAACCAAACGGGAAAAATATTATTGTTGGAGTTATATATAGGCCTCCTAATGAAAGTGTTGATGAGTTTATTAACAATACAGACAAACTAATTTCTATTATTTCTAAAGAAAATAAAATGTGCTACATAATGGGTGACTTTAATTTGAATCTATTAAATTATCATAGCCACCAACGCACTGGTGAATTTCTTGATATTATGTACTCCAGTATGTTTTTCCCGTTAATTACTCGGCCTACTCGCATTACATCTAATTCTGCTACTCTCATTGATAACATTTTCACAAACAATCTAGAAACTTATTCATTTAGCGGTCTATTATTCACCGATATTTCTGACCATTTACCAATTTTTGGCTATTTTAGTGATCAATCAGTTGAAAATTATGGTGACGCTTCAGCATATGTAACATTCCGTGATAGGAGTAAGACTAACTCGTTAAAATTTCAAGACCTTCTCAGAAATCACAGATGGTCTGATATTGAGGGATACAATGATCCAAATTGTGCTTATGATAGTTTTCATTCTGAGTTCATGCGTATATATAATACCGCCTTTCCCTTGAAAAGAATTAAAGCAGCAAGGTTCAAAAATAAGCCCTGGCTATCCAAGGGTATCCACAAGTCCATAAGAAAAAAAAAAAAGTTGTACAAGAAATTTCTACGTGTTCCTACTCCTCTAAATGAGGATAGGTACAAAAAGTATAAAAACAGGCTTACTCATGTATTACGTACCTCCAAACGTTTTTATTATGAGGAGAAGCT